TGTATTCTTTAAAATTATATTATTTTCATCAAAGTTAAAAAACCGAGTCAATTATATTCATTAATTTAACAAGTACTGAAGTACATGAGGCGAAGTCATTGCTATTACTGTATTACCCGGTTTTGCCTATCGTTATTCGGAATGAAATTGAAATTGTATATATACAGTATATATATATATATATATATATTGAAATACTTGAAAGAATATTTATATATATATATTGAAATACTTGAAAGAATATTTATAGGTTAAGGCAAATTTAAGGTAAATGTAAGTGTAATTGAATTATATTGATAATATAATTATATTGATAATATAATTATATTGATAATATAAGAACAATAACAATAACTATAATACATTAACCTATAATGCATTAACCTATAATGCATTAATATTAATGATAAATGTTCAGATTCAGACGTACGTACGTACGTACTTTCAAACGTATGTGCGCACACAAGATATATACAATAGATCATGCGACCTTCAAATCATTGGAATTATTTATAATAAAATCATTGAAATTTCCATCAGCAGGCAATTTCAAAGCAGCCATTACTTCATCCATTGGATTCACTACCGGTTTATTTTGTGATGAAATTGGTGTAATGGTAACTTGTTCATGTGACAATGGTATTGTTGATGACGTTTGTTTCCTCTTTTTGTTTAAAAAAAAAAATATATGTGTATATATATTATTATATAATATTATAATAAAGTAACACATGATTTTTTAAAATTTTTACGTACGTACCTTTACATGAAATTGTGATGGTGAATTTGGAGAATTTGAAGTAAAAGATGAATTTTGAATCGGGTTCGATTTTGGTATTTGTTGAGTTGGAGTATCAATAGATTCTAAACGTAAAGCAGCAGCAACTTCTGCCATTTGAGTTTTAACTTTTTCAGGCTATAAACAATAAAAGTAATTAATTAAATTTAGTTAGGAAAAAAAAAATCGAAATTAATATAATTAATTAATTAATTAATTAATTAATTTCAGAGTAATTTACAGAGTAATTTACAGAGAAAAAACTTACATCAACTTTTCCACTACGCAATTCAGCAATTCCGATATGTCCAGTATGCTATTATTATCAAGAAATATAAAAGATTACGATCGTTATAAAAAAAATACGCATTTACTATATTTATACGGAATATTTATGACATAGATTATTTACCTGAAAGTTTGAAGGAAGGCTAATGAGTGTTTTATGAATTTTTTTTGGTCGTTTAAAAGTTTTTCTGGTACTGTTTTGATCGTTATCATGAAAGAAATTCAATTTTTTCTTTGGATTTAACGATTGTGAACTAATACCAATATCTTTTGATTTTTTTTGAGAAGAGTTGCGATTACCCATCGTTAAATATAGTATAGTATTAAATCACAAAGTGGTTTTGGTTAACGTTTATAATGAATGATAAGTTTAAAACAAATTAATCATGAAATTGAGAAAATTTAGTCGTGAAATTCAATATTTTTTTTTTAAATTTCTGTTCAAGACACATATATACTGTATATATATGTTTTTTTTTTTTTACATAATTGTTATTTTTTTCAGTTCTTTCGTTAAAAACTATGAGACAACACAGTTTTTTTTTTTATCGATTAATTCCTTAGAAGGAAGAACATTTCTTACACATCGATTTGTTTCACTAATTTATATTATTCATCAACTACGAGCCTATCAATAGTTATTTGTTAAATTATTTATAGATCATGAAGAACATTTATTTAACTCCAAAAGACTCTGGCTTCTTTGTTTTAGGGTCATACCATACCGATACATGATTGCTCGAATCACTAGTTGTATTACATAAATAATAAAAATTCATCACATGAAATAAATACAATACGTAATATATATACATTATATATTAATATGTGAATATGTTATGAATATCAATATGCAAATATACTGTATCAGTACAATTTTTTATTCATTATTTACTTATCCGACTAAATTACGTATTTTAAGGTACGTACTACCAGTTTCAGAAATACAGTTTGGTACAGACGTACGTATGTACGTACAGTAACGTACTAAAGAATATCAGATTCAAACATCGATCAAACTAAAGTGATCAAACTAAAGGTTATTATTGAAAAGTAACAAAAACCGTTGTTCATTGTATTGTATTAATCGCATACAATTACCAAATACTTTTTTATTCAAATAATTTTTATTAAATACTTTATTCAAATAATTTTTATTAAATACTATATTCAACTAACGATAATTTTATTTATTCAAACTTTATATGTAAATGCTGATTTGTATTAAGATCAAAAAAGGTTAAAAAAAAAAAGGTCTTACGTAAGTAGTTAGCCGTAAATGCATAAATTTTGTTTAATATTCAAAACTTTCAAGTATAGAAGTAAATAGATGTTATAGAAGATCATAAACGTACTATTGTTTGTGTTATTGTTCGATACGATATACGTATGTATACAATATTTGATTCTTTGATTTGTTCCAAAAATAGTATTAGAATAAAATAATTTTCGTATGCAGCAAAGTGCGGTAGTTGAAGTTGAGTTTGAAATAAAACCATTTAATACATTTTCTTTGTATTTGTTTTCATTAATAAAATGTATTTTTAGAAAAAAGTTTCTTTTTTAAAACTGTTTTTAAAACTGTGTTTTTATTGAGTTTTCAAACTGTTTTTAAAACAGTGTTTCTTTTTTAAATACATAGTATTTTTAACCAAAATTTTGCATAAGAAGTGTCAGTCACTCATTATCATCGTTAAAGATTTTTTTTTTTTTTTTGTTGGATCATCTGTTCGAAATTGACGTATAAGTATCATTGTTGCAAGTTCTTTGTGTATTTGCCCAAGTGAAGAAATTTAATTCCAAATTCGTATAACAAAAAAAAAATTTTTATGATCGTGATCGTTATTATATAGGTACGTAAAAACTAAACACATTGGGAAATCCTTATCTGTTATGTATCTACGTATAACAGATAGTGTTTCAAACAATTGACTAAAATATGGTAAAGAAAGGAATTGGCAAACAAAGAAGTTTATGCGCGATATGATGTTGTGTAATTTACCAAATTGTTTATACAGATCAACCTTGTTAAATATTTTCGTCTGACCATTATTTACGTACGTACGTACGTACGTACCCGAGATTTAACACGAAGAATTAATTGCTTATTTTACAGTAAATAACGTGTGTTTAAATAACGAATGTTTAAATAACGTATGTTAAAAATAACGTGCGTTTAAATAACGTGGGTTCGTTCATCATAACTGATAACGTGTGTTCGTTCTTCATAACTGGTAACGTGTGTTCGTTCATCATAACTGGTAACGTGTGTTTCGTTCATCATAACTGATAACGTGTGTTCGTTCATCATAACTGATAACGTTTCGTTCATCAGTATAAAATTAAATACGTACGTAAATATACATCTATAAAAAATATAAAAATTAATTTTAAACCCTTTGTGATATCTGTTTCAAAAGACAAACCAAGCTTTTGATAAGACTTTTGATAAGACTTTCGATAGGACTTTCGATAGGACTTTCGATAGGACTTTTCGATAAGACTTTTGATAAGACTTGTACGTTTAAGCATTGTATCAGAGGTTAAAATCAGTGCGGAAATTAATTATGTACGACGTACGTACGTAATATCACGTCCTATTGCATGCATAATTAACATATTGCAAAATTAACTTGATACAAATCTTGAATATTGCATAATTAACATATTGCAAAAATTAACTTGATACAAATCTTGAAATTTCTTGTTGATTTATAAAAAAAGTCTATACACGTGGATACAAATCACACGCATAATAAAGTTTATATGTCATAAAATATATGAATTTTGATGTCTATAACTTTATTTTTTTAAAAAAAAATATTACCGTACATACATACAGTACGTGTATATACGTTTGAAAAAAAAAAAAAATGCATAGTATGGTTGATGATAAAAATTGTGATTTTTGTTTGATAAAATGAAATGTCAAAAACAAAGAAAAAAAAAAACCAGAAAAATAGAAAGAAAGAAATATATATATATAAACATATTAATTTTAATTTTCACAAAATTCCCTCCAAAATATCTTCAACAAAATGTCTTCAACAAAATATAATACACCATCAAAATGTTTCAAAATACAATGATTTACAATGATTGCTATTCGGAATTCCTATTTGGAAATCTTAGAAATCATAAAAATCTTCAGGTTCTTTGGATAAACTTTCGATACTTTGGGTTTCTATCAACGGCTTTGTACCAACTACCAAGTTATCCTCAATTTTTTTCCACAACACATTTCTCACATTTTGACTCAACTTTTTATTTGTAACCTTTCGTGCCAAGTTAATCCAGCTTGGTACAGTTAGGTCTTTCATATGATAATCACCCCAAGTTGTATATTCAACCACATATTCTGGTTCTTCATCTGGGAATAAGTTGCTAACTGTAAGATTAATAAAATATTGTGTATATCCTAATGGAGTAAGGAATGTATTTATATGGGAAGGTGCATTAGGATCGTGACTCTTTGGTCGTTTATTCTTTTTTAAACTTTCAGGATCATCATCATAATCGTCGTCGTCATAATTATAATCCGATTTGGTAACTTCAGTCGTATTATATTTAAAGACTCTTAATGCTGGATAAAATACAGGAATTATAGATGGATTGATATGAACAACCGCATATTCTTTACCGACACCTTCAGTAAGTGGAGGAACTGATCGATAATGATTATAAAGTTTGGCCAGGTATTTGTTAATTTTGGATGGTGATTTGTTGACTAATGTTTTAAATTGTTCTTTATCATAATTATCGTAATCTTCTGTATAATCTTCAATATAATCTGTATAATCTTCAAATTCATCATCATCATCATCATCATAATAATCATCATCATCAGTATAATCATCATCATCAGTATAATCATCTGCATAATCATAGTCATCTGTATAATCTTTTGCATGGAGAGAATCATTACGTTTAAATTTGCCCAAATCTTTATTTGCTCCAATAAAAAAGAAATGATCCATATTTGAATGACCATAATAATGTCCTAATATAAGATCATGAAATTTTATTGAAATTTTTTTGTATGCTCTATAACAAGATTTCGTATATTGTTTTTTTCTTGGAGCTATATGACCAGTAAGATAAACTTTCATTCCTCGTTTTCGAGCCTGTTTTAATACATTTGTTAACCATTCCATTTCAATTGTTCCTGGTTGTTTTGGTGCTTTACATCCACTAACAGCAGTGTTGGAATTATAAAAATATAAAGTATTTAATGATATAACCATAAGTTTTTTAGGAATTACTTCGGTATAATAATATCCTCCTTTAAGAAATGTTGCTCGTTGATTTCCAGGTATAAAAGGTTCCCAAATTTTATAAATAGTTGCAAGTATATCATTTGGTCCGGGTGAAAGGATATTATTAGGAAAAATATCATGGTTTCCTATTGAAGGAACTATAGGTATAACTTGTGGTTTATTTTTTCCTCGTATTCCTCTAGTAGAAAAGGTTTCGAGAAATTTAGATGCAATCATTCGATTTAATTCAAAAATTTCATGCGACGTTCGTGGGTTGTTATTATCGTTATCATGCCTATTACATATATTAAAATTAATATTATAAAATTAAAAGGTAAATATTAATTATTAATAATATTAGTAATATTAATAAGATTAATAATATTAGTAATATTAATAAGATTAATAATATTAAATTTAAACTAACCTAGAGTTATCACCCGTCCATATGATAAAGTCTAATTTATCTTTCCAATTTCTTTCTAACCAGTTGAATGTTGCATTCACCAAACTCATAGGAGAGTCGCATGATGAGATTGAAGTACCCCAAGTTCCCGCGAATCTTGGTTTCTTGTTCTTTGGATGGCCTCCATGACATTTTGATTTAATTGTGGAATTTGCTATATAATAAGGATCTGGATGAAAATCCGTAATATGAAGAAAAGTTCCATGTAGTGCCCTTTTTTTTGACGTGCTTAGAGAAGGTTCGTTGAGTGACTCAAAAGTGAAAAATAAGAAAAAGAATAAGACAAAAGCAGGTATTACAAGTGTTAAGAAATCTTTGGGTGTCATTATTATTATAATAATTAGAAAATTATTATAATAACAACTATTGTGAATAATAACTATTTGACAACGATTATAACAATGATATATAATAACTATTGGTAACGAAGAACAAAAAAAAAAACCTCTTGGATTTTTCTGATTTTTCTGATTGTGTTAAAAAACGCTTTTATATAAACTATTATCTAATATATAATATATTTGCAGGGTAATGGATCAACAGTTAATTTAATAAGAAGCTAAACATTTTCTATGACGTTTT